ACAAATTACACAGTGTATATTAGTATTTGTGAACTGTAAAGCTTCACGGCTTGTATAACATATATAAAATAATTACATTTCTTACACGTTTTGAACAAACAATTTTAGACACGTTAGTGTTGATAACTGTTATAAACATATTTTAATCCACGTTCTTTCACTCAACAGGTGTGACTGTATGCACCAGTTGTTGTGATAGTGATTTGTGCAACACTGGTAATTCTGCTACTGGACTGGTCTTCAATTACCGCCTGATGGGCGTTCTGGCTTTGATGGTACTGAGCTCTCTATTTTAATATTGCACAGCCAGTAATATATCAGTAGTAACAAGGACGTTCACTCTGTTAATGTCAGTGTAAAATATACGATGTTTATTACATACAATGTGACAGAGAAATCGACAATAAAAGATTCTGTGTTAGATCATAGCTTTTAGTGAATTTCAATGATTGTTTTGGAATAAAAATTGCAATTAAAATTTTCAAATTGATTTGGAATTAAAGTCAAGGTATTCTTCTCTTTGTACTCTTTCAACAATAACAGCAGCAGCAACAGCAATAACTAATTTCACTGCAATGAGTATTATTCTTTTTGCTAGTTTCAATCTCGCCAAAACCCCTTCACGTTGACACAGGGTAGATGTGACAGGTGCATGCATGGAGTGCGACAAACACATCAGTCAACTTCAATTATGGTAAAGGACACAGGAACATAATAACTTTAGAAACTTTGCACAGTGGGACAAACAGCAAAATATTGTTTATTCACTATAAGCATAGAAAAAACATAAACTTCTACATCAACACAATGATATGCGCTCACACCTAGGATGTGACTCCAATCCAGACCTGGTATCCATGCTGAAGTATAGCTTTTCAAAAAAGCCTCTAAACACGTATTTATTTTGAGAAATCATACCCCTTTTCAAGTGCAAAAAATTGAAATAGAAACCCTATATACATACTTAAAATCATAGTTGAGATAACATGAATACCTTTTTCCACACTTTCGGCCCTAAACACCATAGACGTATTCCTTCAAGTTGGAGAAAAGTATGTATAAGAATAAGGTTATTACGAGAATACTGCAAAGTATGCACGAAGACAGTACAGCAGCAGTATCAACCGACGCGCATATTATTCGGTAGCAGAACTTTGATTGCGCCCTCACAGTTCCCGTTGATCTCGTATGCGAAAAATATATTTATAATATATATATAATTGATGGTTGTATTTTAGTTCCTATGATATTATGCAATATCTCAAATTATGAGTAGGCTTCTACCTTATTACAGACAGTCGCACGAATTCATTGGATTTAGGACACCAAAGTTCAAATCGTCATCAGTAATAATCTGTTTATCTGTAGTTGACAAGTCACCAAGTGTAACAATATATCTTTTCATTTAACTACGAATATTCAGATGTGAAATCATAGTATAGAAAACACAATTTAATATAATGGGTAGAGTAAACTTTAAAATAATTCTAGTTTCAAGCACGATGTATTATTTTCAATATGGTTATTAAATATAATCATACATCTGTCACCGTAACACCATAAGTTTCAGCGTGCCGTAATTTTGCGGTATTTTACAGGATATTTTTATCCTACCATATTAGGAAATGCGAATTCCATATATGGAATGATTACGCTCGTAAGCGTCCTTTAATGATAAAAACAAACATAGCTGTCACAGGGGTTTGACGGGACTACACACAAAGATGTTCGCTGATTCTGTTGTAAATTTTTTGGATTTCGGTTTTCCTATGATGTACTTTTGGAAGGAAAAGATGTTTAATAATAAGACAGACGGTACGCTGCGCGTCGGTCGATACTCCCGTCTTCGTGCATACTTTGAAGTATCCTCGTAATAACCTCATATTATCCAGAGTTATGGGAACTAGAACAAACTAGAAATTGGTGAAGTTCACTGAAGTAGAAATGGATGACCACTTGTTGAATACTTGTTGATTGTTTTTTACGAGAAAGAAGGATCTGAAAATGAGATAATTGAACTGCAGTTCACGGTTTCTATCATACTAAACTGGTCACCAGATTTAACAAGTGTCGCTGATTTTTACTAAAAGTCTACTTTGGGAGCCACTGAAGATTTTAAAACTATACAGTGTCAGTTGATGTTCCAGGTTTGCGATAGTTTGCGACTTTCCCGCCTCAAATGTCATGGCGAACTAGGCCACACCACGTTCTCATTCTTTGTACTATTTCCCTTGGTTACCTGACGTCAGCGTTTACGCATGTGGCACTTCTGTATAGAAAGCAGGGTTTTCCTGTTACCCCAAAAGTTGTGTGAATATGAAAATGTTTCTTTTGTTACACAAATTGCGAGAAATGCCAGAATCATCTCATATAGGTAGTCTAAGCAGACAGACTAAATAGGCATGGCAGTAATACCCAATATTTTAAAATAATTTGTAGTCATAGTACGACGTGCCTAGTTAAAAGCTTAAGCCATAAATATGATAAATTGATTCATAGATAATGTACGCATTAAGAATGGAAACCCATAGTCCGAGTAGTATGTGTATACGAGAATGCAGTTGCTTCGTCGAACGAATAATTGGATGTCTACATCAAGAACAGCGGTCCTGCATTCATCAAAATACAGTGTTACAAAAGACTAAACGTGACCATACGTACCAGCACCAGACGAGGCAACATAGGAATACATAAATACTACCGTAGAGGGACTGTGCGTACACCAATCAAAGAAACTACACATATTGCTTAATGCATACAACTTATTTTAGTAAAAGCATAGAGCATCCACAAAAAAGACAAAACAACTGAAAAATGAAAGAGAACATCTAATAATTACAAACATTATACCTTACAACAGATATTTGAAACTCGCTACACATAAATTTGCATGAATGAAAAAGTGTGTTTGTTACTTACTGTAAACAAAATCGTTAGCTGTCACGATATCCCCAGTCACGGTCATATCGTCGTCCCCGATCATTACAGTACTGTTTTTCAAACGGTGAAGAAAGTCGAAACGGGTGCCTCTTTGTGTCATATTTTATGTCTTTATTGTATTTTAGTCAAAATCCCATAGTAGATACGATATCAATAAAGGTTATTATTATTATTATTATTATTATTAAACGCCTCTGGTGTTTTTCCCGCAAAATTTGCATTTGCAAAATTACAAAGTCGTACTGAATACAAATAAATTTCAATCATTGATACCTAGTTGTAATAGGGTCTTGTAGCAAAATTTCTAATGTTCATCTACAATTATAATTTCATGCTTGGTAAATCTAATCACTATGATTACAGTTTCCTAACACAATGTTGTTACCAGAGGAAACATCGTGCATTGCCAACACTGTGTGTATTGCCGTTTAGTTCTCCTAAATTATTGACATATCACGGAGGATTGTTCTCATTTTTTGACACTCCACATTCGAACCGCATTCGTTGACAAAGTTTATTTTGAAAACAAATACTTCGGGTCAGATTGTTTACAGTCAGTATTAGGCCAAGCAATGCATCTCTTAGAACAGCAAATGTTTCTGGTCAGCTATTTCATCATTGCACAGCGCTCTCTAATGACGAATAGATTAAACCACCGTCCGACGGTGATTAAACATGTCGCGGCAACGACGACGAACCTGGCAAGCTGACGAACCCGTATGGTGTGAATGGTGTGAATTATACACTGCATCGGATTGCTGCTCCATTAATGTGGTCCTCCCTGCTCAGTAAACAATGAACACTCCCTGAGAATACATAAATGCTGCACAATATAACAATAGGACGATTTACTGTCACGCTGTTTTTATTTGATAATTTGTGTGCAATAAAAATCCTTTTTTTGAGTGACAGTAAGAAAAAATGTCAAAATTGTTATGCCCTTTAAAATAAAATTAAATATACGTACAAAAAACGACAAACTCAACAAGCGACGACAAATCACATAAAGTGTCACTCTAACAGTACGGAATTCGTTACGTGAACGTCCTGTTGCAGAATTCATTAACGCACATTATTTTACTGACAATATTTTGTAGAAAACATGGCTTTCACTTGGAGATATTAAATTATAGACTTGTAGTGTATATAAATTCGCAAGACGGACGAATTTTCGAACTGGTGGTTCATGAATACATAAATATACTCAGCGTTAACTCGGTTTCATTGGATTCGACAGCGACTCTCAATGTGCAATGAACAGTATTGTCGTCGTCGTTTGAGTTACCGGTGTTTTTTGATAATGTAGCAATCAGAAACAATTTCCATGGGTTTCTGACATCCTGGACTTACTATATCGTTACTGTAGTGTTATTGGATTCTACCACACACCGTTATTATGCCTGGCTTGGTCGTATTTCGTCGTCGTTGGGCGGTTGGCAGCGACGATCTCATCCTGTCGGCGGGATTCACTCTCTTCATTCACATTGTCTGGTAAGTCATCTGCCGAAATCTCAGCTCTCCTTCATCCCGATTAACTTTGCATTTCCATCTTGTGAGATAATGTTACATCATTCATGTTAATTCGATCGCTGCTACTGGCATACGTATTGGATCGCAGTATCCTGTACGATCGTCTAGTCATTTATCTATGAACATTGTCTTTAACTCATAGGTATTAGTAGCAGACATCATTACGGGTGAGCCCCGGGCGTTACAACCCTATCACTTTTCGCTTCTATATTAATGTTCGCTACATACCTCACCTGCTAATACATGGCCGACCGATTCACTGACAAAGGCTTTTTTAGGGGCAATAATCGAAAGACGTGATATGAGTTTTGAACAGAGAAGTCGTGCCTATACGTATTGTGTGTAATACAGTGTGTAACAACAACCTCACTGACCACACCCCCTTCGGCGGCCTCCCCCGGCAGGGTCGATTACGCTACATTGAATATAATATTAAAATTCTCACTAAATCAATAATTAAATACAAATACTGTTACATATCAATTAGTAAAATAAGTGTTTAGGTTAGCTTGTTTGAAAATGATATATGCCCTGCCCTATATTTGTCACATTT